AGCTGTTGTAACAAATTGCCACAGCTTAAACCAATAAACATTGACTCTCTCACATTTTCGGGTGTCAGTTGTTAGCAGGGTTATGCATCCCCTGGAGGCCTGTCCCAGCTGCTGCTGGCTGCTAGCATTCCTTGGCTTGTGGCCGCATCACTCCGCTCTGTTTCTGTCTGTTTCTTGCCTCCCCAGGTGTCACACTGCCCTTTGTCGCTCTCTTAGAAGAACACGTGTGATGGCAGCTGTGATCCACCGGGAAGTCCAGGATAATCTGCTCATCTCAACATCCTTCACCTGCTCACACATGGAAAGACTTTATAGTAATGGGAAACATTCACAGGTCCCAGGGATTAGGGTAAGGGTGTGTTTTTGGCAGCCAACATTAGCTCACGACCGACTTGTAAGGAAAAACCATGCACAAACGTCTTCAAATACGACTTTTGAAGAATGCCAAACCAAAGCCATATGACCCCTAACATGGCATTTCTATTTGACTGAAGCACGCAGGTAAGATGAGCTACAAAGCCAACATTTCATTGACAGAATCTGGATGAGATGAGGCAGGAAGTAGACTTAGGTGAAGGATAAAGGTGGCTGTGGCTTTCAGAAGACATTATTGTCTTCCTAGCCAAAAAAAAAAAAAACCAAACCCTGAAAAGATATTAGGAGTTGATATAAAAAATAGACTGAAAATTAGTTGAAGAGAGCCAATAACTTGTCTACATATCCGTGAAAAACTAGCTATAATTAAATGTAACACCAAATGACATTCTGATAATAAGAGCACCGTCAACATTCGCAACCAGCATCCATTAAAAATGTTAATTTGGCATTTTAGTGGCATTCTCGTTTTTTTAAAATAGTAATAAACTCCCCATCAGTTAGGAGATTCTAGAAATGCAAACGACTTATGGCTGGATAAAGTCACCAGATCGGTCAGCAGTTTTTTCCACAGTGGCCCCTTCCATACTGACATTGTCTGAGGAACGGTCAACACTAAGGGGGAAATCGCCCTTGTTTGGGTGTTAGAAGTGGTGAGTGAATTGAGCGAGGCTGATTCAAGTATCTGTTGATTTTTCTATCTTACATTAGGGTGCAAACAACTGATAGTGTAGCGTAATAACTTAAGTGTTTACATCCTCCTATGACCTGTAGGAATAGGGCTTTTCTCTAATGAAATCTCTGGTCAGGTCTGTTTAACCAGTGGTAGGTAATCTTGGTGGGAAGAGAGCCCTTTGATAACAAAGTATCCCTGTTCCTCATCTTGTACACAAGCAGAGTCAGGATACCATCCTCTGTCTTTCTCTCTCTACCATAATTTTACAGAAGGCAACTCACTGTAATCTTCAGCTCTTTAAAGTTATCTGTAGAGCATCTTTAGCCATCTTCTCTGGACCAGTCTCTACTTTGTGTCTTCCCAGACTTTCTCATGTGCTTGTCTAGGGAGGTGTCAGGGAATGGTCTCAAGAAGGAACCTGTTCTGGGTTTATTTCCATTTCCTAATGGGCTAGGACTGTCAGGAGTGGGTTGTTAGGCTCAGGAAGACCATTTAAGGCAATGCCCATTGACCATGGGCCATAGGGCATCAGCAGCTCCAGGATTTCGTAGAAGGCTGATGAGCATTCAGTGAGGACCATTCAAGGAGATGCCTGTTGAACGTGGACCACCGGGCAGCATGAGCTTCAGGGATTTATGGCTAAATATACACAAGTCAATAAATGTCATTAATCACATAAATGGACTCAAAGACAAAAACCACATTGTCATCTCAATAGATGCAGAAAAGGCTTTTGACAAAATTCAGCATGCATGTATGTTCAGAGTCCTACAAGGAATTGGACTGGAGGGAACATACCTGAACATAATTAAAGCTATAATACAACAAACCCACAGCCAATATCATTCTAAATGGAGAAAAACCAGAAGCATTCCCATTAAAATTAGGAACACTTACAAGGATGTCCAATATCTCCACTACTTTTCAACATAGTGCTTGAAAATCTTTCTAGAGCAATAAGACAGGAGAAGCAGATTAAAGGACTAGTAATTGGAAAAGAACAGGTCAAACTATCACTTTTTGCAGATGATATGATACTATACCTAAGAGATCCCAAAAGTTCCATCAGAAAACTCCTAGAACTGATCAACATTTTCAGTATAGTGGCAGGTTATAAAATCAACCTACCCAAATCAGTAGCCTTTCTATATATCACTAACAAGCAATTGGAGAAAGAATACAGGGAAATGCTCCCATTCATAACA